TTTCCACATGTCCATTGATGGTCACAATCATTAATTTCCTAGTAAATTAGACTTGAGATCTCGAGGAGTTTTCCTTTTATTTTTTTTTAAATTTAAATTAATGAAAGATAAGAAAGGGTAGCACAAACTGGTTATGCCTTTGTTTAATTTCTACTTGCTTGAGTTTGTGATGGTGATTGATCGTCCGAGCATTAAAAATTTTGTGTGGATTTTAATATCAAACTAGTTTGCCAGAAGCAAACATTTGAAAGACAACCTTTATGGAGACATTTAGAAAAAGGAGCTTGATGATTTTGGTGATCTTATTAATTTCTGAATATTTCTAATTTCTCATGCACTAATCTTTCGTCCCCATGAGTAGTGCACTGTGATATATAATAGTAACTATTACTTGTCTTTGGCCTTGAACGTTAATTTTTACTAACACCCTTGTGTTTTTTGCACGATTATATCTCTTGATTCTTTAAGTATATTTGCTCAGATGGCAAACACTTTAAATTTTCTAAGACATGAAAAATTAAATGCCTCAGTGAAAAAATATTCACTTTTTTGGACAATCCCTAAAGGATCGCTTTGATCTATGGAAGCCAATAATTTGATCAAAATGTTCTTTTCCCCATTCTTTACAAATAATATTGTACTCCAACAGCAGTACATGACCAAGAATTGCACTTAGCATTCTGAATTGATATCTACATTAGTAGTCGCAGAGAAGCACAACCAATTGATGATTAGAAATCATAATGTCATACTAGTTGGCTTGCGAGTTGTGTTTGTAGCACATGCTACAATTTAGAAAATTACTTATACGCGTGGTCAAGGGGGAGGCTATGAACATAGTAGGAGATCTTATCCTGTAGCCATTTTTGGATTTTAAACCCTCGACTGAATACAATTCAACAAGTAACCTTGTACTCTTACAATAGTACAACTAAAAGCATTATGAACTAATCCTTGAATTAGTAGTTGTTAAAAACACAACCAGCTGTTGTGAGAAACCATAATGCAAGTTTAATTGGTTCAGTCGTAGTGCCTGAAGCACATGTCATAATTCAAATTAATATTCATAAGCTCGGACGAGGGGGAGATAGTAGATCTTATTGAGGTGGTCAAGGTAAACTATTTGGTTTTTTTATATTTGGATTATATGCATTTGTTAGACAATTTTAATTTATCTTGATTTTTGCTTTAAACTCTGTAGGGTGAATATTTGATTTCCCAAAAAAGGGAGTTTCGTTTGTTTGTATTAATAAGAAGGCTTATTACAAACTAACAAATCAAATGTTTACAACAGAAGCAGAGGGAAAGCCCTCTTTGTTTTGTGTGGGGACTTTAGGTGGCTATAGGACGCTTCGCTCGATGCTCGTGTCGAGTCTGCTTCCCTTGGACCGTTCGAATGAGGTTGCTGGGGAGCTTCAGTACGCAGTAGAAGCTCGGGCCAATAGAGTTCGGGTCTGCTTAGTTCGTCGGCGATCGGAGCTCAGAACTAGGCAGCAGTGCTGTAATGCAAGGATTTGCTAACAGCTTGGTCTCAACTCTTTTTCCTCCAAGTTTTGCGACCTCTCTTCCATCGTGCTGGAAGGGGCTTTTAAATGAAAGAAGGACAGCTCGAATTCTCCTTGAATTGTGGGATGTGACCACATCCTCTTCAGAGACGTCTCGCCGTTCCTCGATACCATGAACGGTCATTCCAGGGATTGTGTTCTATGTCCTGTCACCTACGATGGGAAGGCCCATCTTGTGTGTGAGGCAACGAACGACTGCTATCCGAGTGGATTTGACCAGCATTAATGAACCGCATTTATGAGTTCGCAGATCGATGAAGTGTCTGTCCGATCACTTGTACTGTGCGTGACCGCCCGGCGTGCTTTGAGCACGACGCTTTCTCCTTTCCGGTCAGGAGAGGCGGTGAAGTAGGTGTACAGTACTCGAGTGGGTCTAGCCAGCTTGCCGAGTGCCGGCGGATCCAGCTCTCGGCTCAGACAGCCGAGGTGAGTCGCATTTATGAATGCTCAGGTTGACTCGACACCTGTCCAGTCCCTTCGCACTGTGCGCACTGCGAGCGGCCGTTTGACGGTCCTGGGGTACTGTGTGCTCTCTCCCTTCGGGTCGAGAGAGATGGGAAGGTCCATCTCAGCACATGGGGTAGTGGATACCCAGCTGTACTGACGGTCTTGGGGTTTGCTGGCGGATTCGACTCTGGACTCGGGCAGGCGAGTTGAGTGAAAGGCGAACTTCCGCCATCCTGATCGATCTTAACTCGTGCTGGCGAGCCTACCGTAAGGCGAACCTAGAATCGAACGTATCTGACGTCTATGCGATTTAGGCCTGTGCCAGAGAACCGAGCGTGCGAGCTCTTCTCGCAGGCGAATTTCCTATAAGCCTATAGAGGTATTTTTTACCGTCTACAAACTCTTATAAACCTATGTGGTTTTTATTCATATATGTATATTTTAGAATTTGTCTGACCTAAAATACAACATGTTGCGATGAGATTAAGATTTAGAGACCCAAATTCTTTTAAATTCTGGCATGAGCGATTGGGTCATCTTGGGTAAAATATGATTTGTCGGATTTCCTTAAATTAAATGGGGCATTCAAACCAAATCCGACCAACTGCATATCACAATTTTCCCCCTTTATCTAATACGTGGTAAAGAAGCAAAATATTTCCCATCTGCGTATTCTTTATTTGCAGTCCATGTTTTTATATCACCACCATAGCGTACCTCTATGGGACCTCGGTGAAGGTACATACATTATTTATGAAACCCCGTCAATAATTTAGTACCTATGGCCCATGTTAGGGGATCAATTTATAATTTAGTACGCTGACTGCATTTTTATTGAAGATCAATTCTCGATATTAGGGGGAGATTAGTGCCCAAAATACAAAATAATGTCAAGAAATTCCATTGGTGAAAAAGATCTTCAATATTTATATCCACGTACTAGTCAAACTGAACCAGAAGTTCACATGATAATCTGCTAAGAAAAGAGTGACTAAGCCACATATTCATGTTGAATATATCATTGATGATTTGGTATGCCAGAAGCATATTGTGCCAGAAGCATATAAAACATGTTAGTGTAAAAGATAAAAGTCTGTGGCAAACTAAATTATATATAGAAAGACAGTCACTCTCATAACCTCCAGAAGAGGTTCATCCTGAAGATGAAATCTCCAGTAAATTGCACGTGCACTTGATAATCACAATACTGGAGATGCGGAACGACCAAATCCAATTGTTAAGGGAAATGACAAGGATTTGGTTGACATAAAATAAGCTTTAAAGTGGCCACGAATTTGTGAAAAAGGAGAAATATACAATAGAAATATAAAAGTTGTCGACAACATAGTTGCCTCTATAGTTGCTCTTACTATCTCCGAAAATAATATGGATCCAGAACCTAAGTCGGTAATAGAGTGCTTGAAGCATTCGGACTAGGTGAGATGAAAAGTGGCAATTGAGGCTGAGCTGAACTCGCTAAAGTATTTTTGAACCTGTAGTTCATATATCCCTGCAGGATATAATGGGTCTTCGTAAGAAAAATAAATGACAATTGTAAGGTGGTGAGATGTAAAGCGAGATTCATAGCTCAATGGGTTCACGCAGAGACCCGACATCGATTTAGATGTAAAATATTCTCCTATTAGTGATTATATTACGTTCCGCAAATTAAATATGGCAGAAACTATGAATTTATATATGCAATATATGTACGTCATGACCATATTTTAATATGAGTCATTAGACACTAATATTTTTATATGAAAGTCCCCGATGGACTTAAAATTCCTGAATTAAAAGAAAACGAGAATCGCAACATGTATAGTATTAAATTATAAATGTCGTTATACGACTTGAAACAGTCGGGTAGAATGTGGTATAACCGACTGAGTGAGTTCCTCCTGAAGAGGAGATATGCAAAATAATGATGTATGCCCTTGTGTGTTTATAAAGAAATTCGAAAATGACTTCTGTATTATATCAGTCTATATTGATGATATAAATATTATTGGAACGCACAAGGAGCTTACAGAAGCTAGCTCATGCCTAAAGACGGAGTTTGAAATGAAAGACTTGTGAAAAACCAAGTTTTGCCTCGGCCTGCAGATCGAGCATTTTCCCAGAAGGAATTTTTCTACACCAGTCAACCTATGTGAAAAAGGTTTTGGAAAGATTTTATATGGATAAATCTCATCCACTTAGCACACCAATGGTCATCCGATCCCTCAAAGTGGATAAAGACCCATTTAAACCCAAAGAAGATAATGAAGAAATGTTAGGGCCAGAAGTTCCCTATCTGAGCACCATTGGAGCACTTCTTTATATCGTAAATTGCACCAGGCCTGATATTGCATTTGCGGTGAACTTGCTAGCAAGGTATAGTGCTTCTCCTAAAGACCCATTTAGACCCAAAGAAGATAATGAAGAAATGTTAGGGCCAGAAGTTCCCTATCTGAGCACCATTTGAGCACTTCTTTATCTCGCAAATTGCACCAGGCCTGATATTGCATTTGCGGTGAACTTGCTAGCAAGGTATAGTGCTTATCCTACAAGGAGGCAATGGAATGTCGTTAAACATTTCCTTCGCTATCTTCAAGGTACAAAAGATCTTGGACTATTCTATAAAAGAAACCAAGATATGACATTGGTGGGCTATTAGGACGCTGGCTACATGTCTGATCCCCATAATGCCAGATCCCAGACTGGTTATGTTTTTCTCTGTGGTGGTACTGTCATTTCTTAGATGTCTGTTAAGCAGACTATGGTGACTACTTCTTATAACCACTCAGAGATTATCGCTTTATATGAGACCTCACGAGAATGTGTATGATTAAGATCGTTGATACGACATATTTGTGGCTCGTGTGGTCTAGCGAAAGATGATATTCCCCCCAATGTCCTTTATGAGGACAATGCAGCTTGTGTTGCACAAATGAGCAGTGGATATGTAAAAGGAACCATGACAAAATATATTACGCCAAAATTCTTTTATCCACATGAGCTCCAAAAGAATGGCGAAATCACCATCGAAAAAGTTCGCTCAAGTGACAATCTTGCAGATTTGTTCACTAAATCTCTGCCTACATCAACTTATGAGAAATATGTTCACAATATGCATAGACTTGAAAGACTATCTTCTTCAGGGGGAGCAAATTCTTAAAGAACAATCCTGAAGATTGGGCCCTGAAAGTCTATTATCATAATTTGCTCCTTTTTGCTAAGTTTTGCCCCACTGGGTTTTCTTAGCATAGACTCAGAAGATTGTCATCATCAGGGGGAGCGAATTTTCAACGCAATCCCGAAGATTGTGCCTTGAAGGACTATAGTTGTACTCTTTTTTCCTTTTGCTAAGTTTTGTCCCACAGGGTTTTCTTAGCTAAAGGGTTTTAATGAGGCAACTAATGCAACAAGAATCTACTAATGTCGTGTACTCTTTTCCTCGACTAGTTTTTATCCCACTGGGTTTTTCTAGCGAGGTTTTTAACGAGGCATTGACATCATGTAGTAATGTCCAAGGGGGAGTGTTGTAAATATAAATACAATGAATGTGGACATTACTAGAAGAAGTCTCTTCACCTACTTGTGACTTTTAGTATTCTCTTCCACATCTATATAATGTAATCCATGGAAGACAAAATGTATTGAGGAGAAATGAAGATGAATAAAATGAGATGATCACTTTCTCCCTATCTCTTTTCTTGTTTATTTACTTTTACATTTCATGTTTGATTCTTACTTTTGATATGTGATGTATGTAGATACAATAACGAGATTACAACACAACCAAACTATAAACAAGACCTCAAAAATTAGAGCTTGAAAAAAACAAATTAATGAATTTAAAATATTAAAATACTTCTATTAATACTAAGTTTTAAATTATAAAAATTAAATAATAATGGTAATGGTTGATAAAAAAATATTTACCATTTGGAAGTGGAAGACTACATGCACTTCTACTCATTGCATCCTTCAGGACCCGTGAGTCATTGGCAGATCCCTCCCATCCCACTAAGACATAAGTAAACGTAAGATCAAATGTGCATGCTGCAAGGATATTTTATGAAAGATAACCATGTCTATTACGATATGGAGTTTGGTCCTCGCTATACACCATACATGGAATGTGGGTCTCGTCAATAGCACCAATACAGTCCTATATATTCCCATTAACATATATGAAATGTGACTTTAAAATTATAATAATAACAATGAATGAAGACTTATATAGTGTATTTAAATTTCAATACCTTGAAGTAAGGCCAAAAACGAGATTCAGATGTGACCTTTTCTGGTGGATCAGTAGGAGGAGGAGCCATCATACAAGGGGCTAATGACACAAGGGCCTGTAGTGCCTTATTGAAACAAACACTGACGGCAAATCGGGATCGATCAAACCTTTCAGTGGTGATGCAATATCGTTGATTTTGAGTAACGGTGAGTAGGAAAATAGCAACCATCTCCTCAACGCTGATATACCGTGTATCTTGTAAATGCCCACGTTCTCGCAAGACCATACACAATTTCATGAAGCAATCCGGATACATACGGTATACTCGACGAAAATCACGTGGGTTGCTATCCATCTTAAATTTTAAATATTGAAGGCCAAGGTCCGTAATGCCATGTCTGAGTTGGGAAATGGGTAGATTTATCTCCTCTTGTGATATGAGGTGCGAGATACTCGTGACTAGACCTCCTATTTGTGCAGCCATGTTGATAATGCGAATGAGGAGATTATCAGCAGTATCCTCATCAAATAGCAAAATAGAGACATTCTGATTATCTTCCATCCTGTATTAGGAAACGAGATCAAATAATAGTTGACACAGAACTAACATCTATGTTCCCAAAAGCATAGAACTAACAACATGTAACAACATCTATGTTCCCAAAAGCATATAAGTCCAAAAGCATCTATGTTCCAACAGCATATAACTAACAACATGTAACAACATATAAGTCCAACAGCATATAAGTCCAAAAGCATACAAGTAACAACATGTATGTGCTTAACATCTATGTTCCCAAAAGCACATAAGTCCAAAAGCATCTATGTTCCAACAGCATATAACTAACAACATGTAACAACATATAAGTCCAACAGCATATAAGTCCAAAAGCATACAAGTAACAACATGTATGTGCTTAACATCTATGTTCCCAAAAGCATAGAACTAACAACATCTATGTTCCCAAAAGCTTATAACATAATAGTCATTAATAAGCATAATTGTCGTCATTTGGAAATACTCCAGTCAGACGCCAAATCATAAACCTTCTCCTTTGATCATCATTCATCTTCACAAACATATCCTTCACGTCTTGGGAAATATTTTGACTAAGGACAGTCAATCGTTCTTCATCGGTAAATTCTGGAATTGAAGCCACTCCCTCGACCCACGGTTGGTTGCGGCTTCGCAACAACCTCACCTCTGTGACTAACTCTTGTAAAGCCTTACTTATAATTGTAATTCCACTCGCCATTTCTTGCACGGCGGGTTGAGACAATGCAGAGGTGGTGGTGCGGGGAGGTGCTCTACGAACATTTCTGCTAGTGCTAGAGGTTGATGGAACAGATTCAGCCACGGGAGTGGTAGGACCTGGCGTGCTATAAGGGGGAGGTGGTGGAGGATCTACTGGTGGTTGGGTAGGTTCTGCTTCACCCATAGCATCAAGTCCAATGTCATCATCCAATATACCCTCACCTAATGCATTATGTAATGGCGCACTCTCTACACCCTCACAACCTAAGCCTCCAGCTGCTCTCCCACTAGCTGAGTGGCTACCCACAACCATCTGCATATCCTCAAAATTTTCAAACAACTTATCTTTAAGCATTGGTGTATTAGGATGAGCCTGTCAAAAAACAAAGATAACAAATTAATTTTTGTAATTAGGAAACATAACAATATATTATGTAGTAAGAAACTTTGGGTAATGCAAAATCTAACCTGTTTGTAATTTTCCCACACCTCAACAGAGCAAGTAATTCTTTGAGATATTGGGTCCCAACCAAACCCGGAATTGTTCCTCAATAGTAATTCAATTGGTTCAATCTTTCTCTTCCAGCTTTTGATCTTATTCTTGACATGATCAAATTTAAAAGTTCTTCCAAATTTAGCATTCATGAATGGCAACACATTTTGTGTGATGGTATATTTCTTGAAGTTGCCATTATCCATCTTGTTGCCATTCTTCACCTCCTCCACTAAAAGCCTTAGTAGCTCTCTATTCTCTTGCTCTGACCATACTACATAGTCACACCTAGCCTTTTTTGCCCTCTCACCATCTTGAGAGTACTCTTCCCCATTTTGAGTTTCCGAAGCAAAATTCATCCTACAACGCAATTATCAATAATGAGTTTCCATGTATATATCTTGAACAATGTCACTTTAGTTTTGTAACCGGTTTTCCCATTACATATATCTTGAACAAATGAGAAACTGAAGATGTTATCAAAGATTTGCTACCTATAGATTTGCTATAATTCATGTAACCACTACAAAACATGAAACAAGAGGGAGTCTTTCTATATTCAGTTTTTCTGAGCATCTCCAGAACTTGGTCATGTACAATGCTATATATGAATGTCATAGTAACAGTTTTAGTTTCACATGAATGTCATACTTATATGTCATACTTCGAGGTGTTTGAAGTCACGAGCCAACATGAACTGGTTTAAAGAATATGAAACCAAAATGTCTGCAACCACTTATGATTTTAGGGTGAGAGAGATCAGACATGACATGAAACTATCCAACGGCGGCGGATAACTTGAAAGAGTAATGTAAATGCATAATAATGAAAAGGAAGATTGAATGAGGCATGAAAATAATCAAACTGAGAATGCAGTTTCATAGCTTGTGAAATCAGCTATATAGCAATACTCAAATGCTCTAGACAATAGCTTGAATGAGGCATGAAAATAATCAAATAAATTAGGCAATTAGAATACCATTTACGAATGACCAGAAACATGTTTGACAAGGTAAAAAAAAAAAGAGTAAATCATGTTCTTGATAATGCCCAGAAAAATCTATCAGCTACTCCCAAAAATCAAACTGAGAGTACTTGATAGTATCAAAACAAAAACAAAAACAAGTTTAATATCGATAATTTCTTTTAGCCTGGAGAAAATAAAAAAAGAAATCTCATCTACATTATCAGACATTGTTTGCATCAAACTCAATAGTTGTTGTATCTTTGTTTAGTTGTGAATGCAAAAGCTATGCATGTAAACCTTTAATATTTCGTCTGGCGATCAATGAAATTGGATTTGGACCTTCATTTACAAAGAAAACTAAGGTGCGTTCCTCAGTTCAGGGGGAAGAGCTCTCAGGTTAAGATGCATTCTGAATAGATACTCTTAACATTTAGTCAAAAAAACATAAATATAGATGGACTTGAAAAGGATCCACATTGGGTTTCTCATGATGCCGCATCTGTTAGCATGCACTTAAAAAATACAGTGGAACATATATCATACGTACAATGGAAACTTTTGATGTAACGCCCACATGATATTTAGAGCATCAGTTCCATTTCATAAGAAACATATTTCGATCTGAGTACTACCCAGCCCATTTGGCAAGGTTTGCTTCATGTTAAATTGTTAATACAACTCAAAGATTACCAAAGCAAACAAGCATCAGGTGCTCTATCTCATTTACAACAAGGCCTAGGTGCTCTATCTCAATTTGTTCACTATAAAATTCAGTTTTGACATCGGTGCTTTATGGATCCAGAGATTGTACCTGGGTTGGGAGGCGGTGCAGCGGAGGAGGCCGCGGAGGTGATGGCGGCGGCGACCGAGCCCGAGAACGGCGGCGGCGAAGCGGGCGTTCGAGCTCGAGAACCAGATCCGAGCTCGAGGCGGCGAACAACGTTCGACGACGAACGACCTCGAGGCGGAGAGAGGAGGCGAAGGAGGCGGACGTCGACCTAGAGACCGGCTCCGCTCGAACTCGAGGCGGAGAGACGAGGTCGGAAGAGGGGGCGTCGGGTCTCCAGCTGGGTTTTTTGGTTCCAGCGAAAGAATTGGGGCAAATTTTGGGGGTTGGACTGAACTTCCCTTTTATAGGTGGGATAAATTGGGGGAAAGTGGGGAAGTTGTCCCAGAATTACCCCAACAAACCAATAACACCATAAAGATTACCCCAGTTCCAATTACCCCAATGAATAACACCAAACATTATTGTTCCAAAAATTATCCCATTATCCCAACAATTACACCAACCAATAACCCCCCCTAAGTCTCTGCCTACATCAACTTATGAGAAATATGTTCACAATATGCACAGACTTGAAAGACTATCTTCTTCAGGGGGAGCAAATTCTTAAAGAACAATCCTGAAGATTGGACCCTGAAGGTCTATTATCATAATTTGCCCCTTTTCACTAAGTTTTGTCCCACTAGGTTTTTCTTAGCATACACTCAGAAGATTGTCATCATCAGGGGAAGCGAATTTTCAACATAATCCCGAAGATTGTACCTTGAAGGTCTATAGTTGTACTCTTTTTTCCTTTTGCTAAGTTTTGTCCCACAGGGTTTTCTTAGCTAAAGGTTTTTAATGAGGCAACTAATGCAATACAAGTTTGGATCCCGAAGATCTATAGTTGTACTCTTTTTCCCTTTACTAAGTTTTGTCCCACAGGGTTTTCTTAGTTAAAGGTTTTTAATGAGGCAACTAATGCAATAAGGATCTACTAATGTCGTGTACTCTTTTTCTCGACTAGTTTTTATCTCACTGGGTTTTTCTAGCGAGGTTTTTAACGAGACGTTGACATCATGTAGTAATGTCCAAGGGGGAGTGTTGTAAATATAAATACAATGAATGTGGACATTACTAGAAGAAGTATCTTCACCTACTTGAAGTCTCTTCACCTACTTGTGACTTTTAGTATTCTCTTCTACATCTATATAATGTAACCATGGAAGACAAAATGAATTGAGGAGAAATGAAGATGAATAAAATGAGATGATCACTTTCTCCCTATCTCTTTTCTTGTTTATTTACTTTTACATTTTATGTTCGATTCTTACTTTTGATATGTGATATTTGTGAATACAACAACGAGATTACAGCAAGTGTCATTTAACCAACTTTATGGTATAGTTATAATTACTGTTGCTTATTATCTCTCCCCTTTGGTAAGGATTTGAGTAAACATTGAGCAATGCGAACCGAGAAAACGTAGCAGATCGCACAAACAGGGCCCATTAAGAAACAATATATAAATAATATACACGAGCCCTATAGAAAATCGTGTTGGAAGAAGAAAAACTCACATACGCTTCATCACCAATTTCAAAGCCGGTGATTTTTTTAAGGGAAAATCCCCTTTTAACCCAAAGTTTTACCCCCAATTATTTTAAAACCCATCCACTTTACTGAACACCAAAAAACCCATTATACCCATTTGGCTTAGTTTTAAACCCAATGCTCCTTATACCTCTCTATCTCTATACCGTATTTCCCCCAAAATAGAGAAACCCGACTTTGCCCTTTCTCTCTTCTTCTCATCACCGTCAACAGTAGGCATTAATGGCGACAATGGCGGGAGAAAAGGGCGGGCTACACTCAGTCTTCACAAACCCCCAATTTGGTCCCCATCTTCAATTACTCTCTCCTTCTCTCTCTCCTCCATTAATTTCTCCTCTCTTCTTGAGAAATCTCTCTCCTCCATTAATATTTCTCTTTATAGAAGACATTAATCCTACATCAGATCAGTGGTTGAGATCTCATGTTCGTTTCTTGCAGTACAAGAAGACATTTAAAGGTAACTATAAAGTGATTGAGATCCCATCCTTATATCTTGATTTGTTGAAATGTCTAAATTTTTAAATGAGAAAACCTTTATCATGTTGAGACTACTATTTTCTCATGAGAAAACCCTAATTCTGTTGATTACATCATTTGTAGTGAGAGTTTGGAAAGTGCTATACTTTCTTTAAAAAGTGCTATGAAAAGCTAAGCAATGTACCCGTTCTATATTTTCTTTATTTGATTCACAAAATAAAAATCATTTGTTCCTCATTTCTATAGAATGTAGAAAAATCTGGTCTTTGAATATTTAGGAATGAATATTGAATTATATTGTATAGAAACATAGAGAATTGCATATTGAATGCCGATGTTGAATTATATCGTATACAATAAGAAAATGCATGTTAGACTTGTGTTTGTTTGGTAATATTTGATTGTTAGTTAGTTCCCCACTTATTTTATTTTTTATGAATTTCAGTAATGGAAGAAGAGCTATATTGTGCAATTATGGACTTTAGAGGAAACAATCATTTGATTCCAATGAATATCAAGGGGACTTTCAGTAATTTAGTGGCCGAGGTGCAAAGTAGAATTGCTTTTTTTTCAAGCCCAGTGAAGCTGACTTATGAAGTCCCATATACAGAAGAATTGTTTGTACGTGTCCATGATGACGTCGATTTGTCAACAATGTTCGATGTACATCTAAGTTGCAAGAAGAAGATAGTTAAGATGCATGTTGACATAGATCGAGATACATTATTTGGTCTAGAGGAAAACACCATTCACATAAGGTAAGAACTTATTGTATATTGTGAGGTCCATATTTCACAAAATTAATCCATGTTTATTTAATTTCTCTGTAGTTCAAAGAAAAATTATGACGATATAATATGTCGGCAATTAGCTGTAGTACTAGATAAGAATTTTCATTAATGTTTCTAATTACTAGTCTTATAAGGTAACTGCTTTATGTTTGCAGGAATCCTACCATATCTCTTTCGGAACAACATGCATTCTCGACGCATAATCTATCCAATTCAGAAAATGCATTACGTGAAGTTGAGAGATCTAGTATTCAGATTCC